CCAGCTCGCTCACCTGGCCGGCTGCGCCGCCTACCCTAGGCGGCAGCAGCGCCGGCGCGTTGTCGTTCTCATCCAGCACAAACACCTGAAGTGTCACGTTGCTGCCCAGAGGAGGGAAGCCCGCGTCGCGCGCGCTCACCTGGAACTGCAGCAGCTCCAGCTCTTCGTGGTCCAGTGGCTGCAGCGCGTACACCTTGCCGCTCTCGGCGTGCACCGACACGTAGCTCGACAGCGCGCGCTCGCCCACCCGCCGCTCCACCAGTGAGTAGGACACCAGGGCGTTCTCCTGAGCGTCCGCGTCGCGAGCCGACACCGTGAAGATGTGGCAGCCCGGCGGGTTGTTCTCCTTCACGAACACCGCGTATTCGTGCTGCGCGAACGTGGGCGCGTTGTCGTTCACGTCGGCTACCTCCACAGACACTTTGGCTGTGGCCGACAGAGAAGGCGAGCCCCAGTCCCGCGCTGTCACCACCAACATATACTCTGATTCAGTCTCGTGATCCAGGACGCCATCTAGCACCAGAGAGTAGTAATTCTTGAAGGAGGACACCAGCTTGAAAGGTACATTGGGTGTTAGTGAGCAGGTCACCTGCCCGTTTGCCCCAGAGTCTCGATCCGACACGCTGATCAGGGCGACAACGGTGCCCAGCAGAGCATCCTCTCCAACTGGGAGCGACAGTGAAGTGACTATTACCTGAGGAACATTGTCATTCAAATCCAGAACTTCCACCAGGACTGTGCTATGACCTGCCATGGAAGGAATTCCTTTATCAATGGCGTTAACCTGAATTTCATACTCATTATTCTCTTCAAAATCTAGTTTCCCATAAATTCTGATGTCACCTGTGTCTGGATTTATCGAAAACATACATTTCTCACTCACTGGCAAAATCATTCTGATTCCATAGAAAATCTCTCTGTTTAGTCCGTCATCTAGATCAGAGGCGTTCAGTTGAACGACTTTTGTTGCGTTTGGGACATTTTCAAACAACGCTACTTTATAGATAGGCTTATCAAACTCCGGGGCGTTGTCATTCACATCCAGAATGGTTATTAAAATCTGAACAGATCCTGTTAGCTCCGGTTTGCCTCCATCCGTCGCCATGAGTAATAAATTAAGTTCTGGCGTTTTCTCTCTATCCAATGACTTCCGAAGAACTAGTTCAGGAAATATACTTTTATCGGTTTTTGTTATTATTTTAAGTTCCAAATGTTCATTTAGACCTAACCTATAGGTCAGAAGAGAGTTTATGCCGATATCCAAATCTGAAGCGCCCTCTAGAGGAAAATGAGAGTCCAGAGGTGCAGATTCAGAAATAAGTACCTTCTGTTCTTTTTCTCTGAACACCGGCGGGTTGTCGTTAATGTCCTTCACCTCCACCTCCACATGGAAAACCTGCAGCGGCTTTTCCACGATCACCTCCAGGTGGATGCTGCACACCGCGCTCCGTCCGCACAGCTCCTCGCGGTCGATGCGAGAATTCACGAACAAAATGCCGTTCTGCAGATTCACCTCCAGAAGGTCCGCGCGGCCTTTTGACGACACCCGGAACAGGCGTGGTACCAGCTCCTCCAGCTCCAGGCCCAGGTCCTGCGCGATGCGGCCCACGAAGGTGCCGTGTTTGGCCTCCTCCGGGACCGAGTAGCGGACCTGGCCGCTCCCCGCCTCCCAGGCTGCGAGGAGCAGAAGCGAGAGCAGCAGGCGCCCCGCTCCGCAGCCTTCTTGCCAGGAAAACACCATTGCAGATAAGGAGGACTTTTGATGTGGCATGCCACATTTAAAGGAGCGCTCGTATGGAATATCTGAGTATTTGTCCTTTTCTTTGGGTATATATTAAGTAAATTCTACCCACCACTTCGGTCAATATGGAGTCGATCCTGTTCTGTGAATGGTTGGAATCTTTAGGCGCGGAGACAAAATTTTCTTTTTTCACCTTTTGGGTGTAGAGCGACACCATGTGACTGATTATGTAAGTACAAGAAAGATCCTGAGGTTCTCCTTTTTCGTATGGCCATTTCCTAGTTCACTCTAAATTGTTTCGACTTTTGGATATTTTCATGAATTATTTGTAAGGGCCTATTTAGTCAAAATATTTTATGATATTAGTAACGAAGCAAAAATATTTGTATTATGTTGTAGCTTTATTAATATCACCTGCTTCAAAGTCGATCATAAATGATCGTTGAAATTTGGTATGTTAGGAGCTCCTTTTTGGTTACGGAGAATAAAATAGAGATTCTAGTATTTATTACCGAATCTACTCTATGGCAATGGTTTATACATCATTCCTGTCCTTACATAGCTTAAAATTCAGTTTTAATGACTTTAATTTTACCTTTCACAAGCACTGCATTGTAGGACTTTAGGAGACAGTCAAGAGTTCTCTTATTAGTAAGAAAAAGAAACAAAGTTTTTCTTAATTCAAAACTACTCCATTTATATAAATTGTTTTATTCATAGTCTAGTGAATAATAGAATTCTTCGTAAATATGGAAGGTGTCACTTTTTTTGGTTCCTTGGTGCTTAAAAGTGATGACTTTTTGTACAGCTGCTCTCATCCTCATAACATTCTAAAATAAGGCTAAGGTACAGATTCCTGAGAGATTTACCCTAGCAGTAGTAAAGTGTTTTCATGAAAAATGTAAGCCGAAGACTTCAAATTTCACAATATTCTATGGTGGCAATGAAGGACTAATATGAAAAAGATCTCTTGAAGTGTTTTTAGAGCCTAATTTCATTGATACTGACCTTTTTGGTATCCCTCTAAATCTTTCCCTACAGGCTAGTTTGTAGTTACTCAGAACATGATTCTCTTCAGAAGATCAGAATGGTGACTATGATGCCAGGAGAAATCAAAAACCTTGTTATGATTTTGTTCATTCCAAACCAGCATTAAGGGAAAACAAAACACAGATAAGATGCTACAGCTACTTGTGAGCAAGTAAATACAGATTTTATAAGCTCATTAAAATTCAAGTCAAAACCTTTAAACCAGTAATGAGTCGACATGGCTTTTACATCTAAAATGTTAAATCTTCACATAATAAAAAGAATAACCAAGAATATGGCAGCCAAGAATGCTTCTACAAGTATAAAATAACTTAAATAAACTATAAAACTGCTTCTTAATCAAAAATAAATTTAAATGTTAAGACTATCAGACTAATTATTTAAATTATCTAATATCATCATGAAGTTTCTTCATTTTCTATTTTCCATTTTCAAAAATAGCTAATGTACCCTAATTGCTAAGGAGTTTTAATGAAAAAATATTACTTTATGTAGTCTTCACACATTGTTGAACATAAATAAGTTATTGAGCAGATAGGAACATCTGAAGTTAGCTTAATGCATACACAACTGAATTAGAAGAGAGGTTAAAATTATAATTTTACACCATAGAATATACTCCTGATTAAGAACAACTATGAAAGACACTACATTTGTGGAAGTTCAGGTAATTTGGAATTATCTAAAATGTGCATTGATTACTTATGCAATGTAAAAGCAATAGTGTACTTAAAATACTCCTGTATCTTTCTTTATTGCATTTAAATGACTGAGTAATTCCAAGTATTTCATCTGTAGATAAGTAATAATGTGGGCCCAACCTAATATTCACATTTATTATATATACCAAGTTGCATAAATAATATGATTGCTTAGTCACTTTTGAGTGTGAAATATTTTATATTTTGCATCTTGTTGCCTACTTCTGAATACTTAAAAGAATTTTTAAGCCAATTAATATTGAGATACAAAGGTTCTTGTCCTGAGACTCAAGAATAGGCTTCAGAGATGGTACTCATGGACTCCTCAGATTATGCCAAATGGTGTAACGTTATTTTAAGGGGAGAATTCCTGCCTATGGCTTTCATCAGACACTCAAAGGGGTCTGTGATTCAGCCATTTTACATACAGCTAAGCAACACTGAATTAGAAGAATCACCTAGAGATAAATGATCTTTGCTAGAACCTTCAGATGTGCTTATACCACGTGGAAAGAAACATTCACAATACTAGAGATAAAATATACAAAGAGAGAGCATTTAAAATGTGAGCTGAAAGAAACTAATAATTGCCAATAGGCATTCAGTAAGATTTTTAACTTTTTCCTTTCTAACTGAATCCACAAAATTTAGGAAAGAATGCCTACAAGCATATATTGCATATAATTATAAGCCTATATGCATGCCTTTAACAAATTTGAATGATTTGATTGAATAATTTGATTTGATCTAGTTTACTTTGAAAGCACAAATCAGGGAGCTCTGTTGAGCATTTGGTAGTTGATAAGTCTCTTCTCATTTCATGGAACAAAATCACAAATGGGCAGAAATTTGTTACATTACTTCAAATTAAAAGCAGATAATTAGAATGCAAGGCTTTTTTTTCCTGCAAATAATGTAAAAATGAGTTTTATTACAGCTGTAGACACAAAGCTAAAGCTTATTTAATGGACAATAAATGACAGATGAATGTTTAACGCCATAGGGAATAAAAGTAGATCGTTTCGAAAGTAATGAGTGTTCAATCTTTGATCTAAGCCAAATGTGAGAAAAGCCAAGTGATCTGATAATGTGAAAATGTCAAGGCAAAGACTGTCAAAACACAACGAAGATGAGCAAACTTAAATGATCTACAGTGAGTATCTACATTACTGAGGATTAGCGGTGAAAGGAAGTGATATGGGTACATCAGTGAAACATGGAGATTATTTCTACTCACGTAAAGACACCAAAGTCATTTTTGCATCTTCTCGTAGTATTTTCTAATCAAACATTGGGAGAAATAGGACATGTATTGACTAGAGAAACCTAATTCTTTATATCGTGAAAAAATTAGATGTGTGTATCATGTGACATTTCACTGACAGAACACTGTTCTTTAAAACGTTACTCAAAATACACAGTATTCATTAAAAATTATCTATGAAATAAAGTAAATTTTAAAAATTAATATTAACTCCCTGAATAAGTGGAGTCGGTACAAAACTCACCTGTCCAGGGTGATTTGATCCTGTCTCCGATCTTTCCTCTCCGTCTTGTGTATCCAGACCCTGAGGTAGGCTGGGGCTGAAGGCCATGAGGTCGGTCTTGGGCGGCCCCTCCCCAGAGCACACCCTCTGCCGCCTCTGCTGCGAGTAGGACCAGCTCCCCACCGCGCTGGAGCACACCAGCGTGGGCTTCCCCTGCCCGCACTCGCCCTCTGTGGGCGGCGCCGAGCACCGCAGCGCCGTGTACAACAGCAGCGTGAGCACCAGCAGGCTGGACACCGCGCAGATGGCGATGATCAGGTACACGTTGACATCCAACAGCGCCGCCTCTATGCCCACGGCGCCCGCCGACGTCCGTGAAGATGTCTTCAGCGCCTGGCCGCTCTCCACCAGCGACACCAACACGGTGGCTGTGGCCGTCAGCGCAGGCTCCCCGTGGTCCCTCACCTGCACCAGCAGGCGCTGTTGTGGCGCGTCCGCCTCGTCCAGGGCGCGCGTCGTGCTCACCTCGCCCGTGTACAGACCCACGCGGAAAGGGCTGCGCGCGCCGCCTGCTGCCGGCTGCAGCTCATACGACAGCCACGCGTTGTAGCCAGAGTCGGCGTCCACCGCGCGCACCTTCGCCACCACGTGGCCCGCGCCCACCGACCGCGGCACCAACTCGCTCACTAGTACGCTTGCGCCGCGGGACACAGGTGGCAGCAGCGTCGGCGCGTTGTCGTTTTCGTCCAGCACGAACACCTGCAGCGTCACGTTGCTTTCCAGAGGAGGGAAGCCCGCGTCTCGAGCGTTCACCTGGAACTGCAGCAGCTCCAGCTCCTCGTGGTCCAATGGCTGCAGCGCGTACACCTTGCCGCTCTCGGCGTGCACCGACACGTAGCTCGACAACACGCGCTCGCCCACCCGCCGCTCCACCAGCGAGTAGGACACCAGCGCGTTCTCCTGAGCGTCCGCGTCGCGAGCAGACACTGTGAATATAAGGCAGCCAGGCGGGTTATTCTCCTTCACGAACACAGTGTATTCGGGCTTTGAGAATGTAGGTGCATTGTCGTTCACGTCGGCCACCTCCACGGACACGCTGGCTGAGGCTGACAAGGAAGGCGAGCCCCCGTCCCGTGCTGTCACCACCAGCGCGTAGGTCGACACGCTCTCGCGATCGAGGACGCTGTCCAGCACCACTGAGTAGTAATTCTCGAAGGTAGACACCAGCTTAAAGGGGATGTGGGGCGTCAGAGAGCAGGCCACCTGCCCGTTGGCACCAGAATCACGGTCGGATACGCTGATCAGGGCAATGACCGTGCTAGGCTGAGCGTCCTCTCGTACTAGGAGCGACAGAGAAGTCATGGTGATTTCAGGGGCATTATCGTTGGCATCTAAGATTTCTACCCAGACTATACAGTGACCTGCCATCGGCGGATTCCCTTTATCTGTGGCCTGTACTGCAATTTCATAAAACTTGTTTTCTTCATAATCTAAAGTCCCGTTGACCCTCACTTCTCCATTATTTTCATCTAGTGTAAATAAGGGTCTTCCATTGGGCTTAACTGATATCAAAGTGTATGTTACCTCCGCATTGACTCCTTCATCTCGATCTGTGGCGTTTAACTTTGTCACAAAAGCTTTTTTAGCAGCGTTTTCCAGCAATCTCACTTTGTATTCCGATTGATCAAACTCCGGATCATTGTCGTTAACATCCAGCACGCGGACGAAGAGCTGAACGGTGCCTGTGAGCTCCGGTTTTCCCCCATCTGTAGCTGTCAGTAACAAATTAAGTTCCGCAGTTTTCTCTCTATCCAGAGACTTCTTTAACACAAGTGACAGTCTTTTAGTCAGCTTACTACTTGTTGGTAATTCTAAAGAAAAATACTCATTTGGACTTAGTCTGTAGGTCAATAGAGCATTTTCTCCTACATCCGCATCAGAAGCTCCCTCTAGAGGAAAACGCGAGTCCGTTTGCTTTGATTCAGAAATCTGCAGCCTTTGTTTTCTGAGAGAGAACACCGGCGGGTTGTCGTTAATGTCCTTCACCTCCACCTCCACATGGAAAACCTGCAGCGGCTTTTCCACGATCACCTCCAGGTGGATGCTGCACACCGCGCTCCGTCCGCACAGCTCCTCGCGGTCGATGCGAGAATTCACGAACAAAATGCCGTTCTGCAGATTCACCTCCAGAAGGTCCGCGCGGCCTTTGGACGCCACCCGGAACAGGCGAGGTACCAGCTCTGCCAGCTCCAGCCCCAAATCCTGCGCGATGCGGCCCACGAAGGTACCGTGTTTGGCCTCCTCGGGGACCGAATAGTGGACCTGGCCACTCCCAGTCTCCCAGGCGGCGAGCAGCAGAAGGGAGAGCAGCAGACGCCAAGTGCCCAACTCCCCTTTCTGAGAACCCAACATCGCACACAACATTGATTACCAAAATAAGATTCTTTACATTTACAGAACCAGTTATTCCAGATTAAGGATAAAAAATCTCGCTGAATTTTTTAGAAGTTTTAAAGGATCCTTTAACAGTAGCATCCGGCATGATGGAGTCTGTTCCGGCATGCAACGAGAGTGACTGTTCCGAGCAACCAACCTATGAATGAACTCTTCCATTGAGTAAAGAGCGACACCTTGTGCCTGAAATTGTGAGCAGTGTACACTACAGCCAACACCACAGAATTTTAAAGGGGAAGAAAATAATGTCATATGCTTCATGTTATTCTATCCCGAAATAATATTTCCAAAGTGCTTATTTATGGAACATTCACATTTTTAGTCGTGTTGAAGCTGATGGCATGTAGAAAATGATACGTGGAAACCATTTTTATTTCCTTATTAACATCAAATTTAAATTTTTGTTTCTATTTTGATTTAGAGTTATAAAACTGCCCTCTAACTTATCTACGCACACACTGAAAGAGAGAGACCGCAATTCTATAGGTAGCCTATCAAAAACTAGGGTTAAACATTTCCTAAAGGTATTGTTCCTCATATAAAAATATTAACATAAAGAAGTTTAATGCCTATCTCAGTTATGGTATTGTACAAAATGAATGATGAAGATAATGATGACTTTTTTCAGAAAGAAGGATTCACCTGTAAATAACTTGTGCTTGATTTTCCCAGACAGGACTATGCTTGAACTAAGAAAAAATTTACTGAAGCAAGCTCTATATTACAGTGAATAAAAGAATGGCTCTGGAATCTGAGAAATATGCATTTTAATATCATCTCTCCCATGTACCTTCTGGATGGCAGTAGGCAAGACAGATAAATATCAAGGCTTCTCTTTTCTCATCTTTAAAATTGGGATAGTCGTTTGTACTTTACAAGTTTTTATAAGGATGAAATGAAATAATGTATGTTAAGCCCTTCACATCATGTCTAACAAATAGAAATAGCTCAAATGATGGTAGTTTATTATAGTTAGGAACCAATGTTTGCTCTTTTTCTGCAGCTGTGGATAAAGATAATTCCAGCAGCATAAACTAGTGCAAAGTTGTCCCTTTTCTGAAGATTTCCTAATGTTCATTTTCATGGAAATCATTCTTCCAGGAGTGAGCTTTCTGGATAGAAAATAGCCACTAATGCCTTCTCAGGAGACTTGGTGATGCAGTGGTTAAGAGCTATGGCTGCTAATCAAAAGGTCAGCAGTTTGAATCCACCAGTGGCTCCATGGAAACCCTATGGGGCAGTTCTACTCTGTCTTATAGGGTCACTATGAGTTGTAATTGTCTCGTTGGCAGTGGGGTAATTTGGTAAAAATGGAGCCAAAAAGAACAAGGTAATCATCTACATTATGTGATACATGTGCTTAAACCCAATGCTGTCAAGTCAATTCTGACTCATAGTGACCCTTTAGAACAGAGTAGACCTGCCCCATATGGTTTCCAATGAGTGGCTGGTAGATTTGAACGACCAACCATTGCCTCTTAACCACTGCACCACCAGGGCTGCAAAGGGTATGCCAAAACCCTTACAGCTTTAAAAATGTATCATCTACAAGTTCTCTGGAATCCCTTTGAAGAAAACTATTCACAAGAATATGGTATTTGGACAAAAAAAGATTTGGCATCAAATACATCTAGAATATACAATGTTTAATTCTGAAATGTGATCACAATTGTCAGGTGGAATTACCTTTATAGATACCCCGTGGTTCTTATGCTTAAGCTGTTTAAAGCAACATCATTTTGAAGACCACACAGTTTTGGTGAACAAAAGCATCAGTATCTTGCTTAGCCACATATAGGAAGGCTGTCTTAGACTGAAAGCATAAAGAACTGTGAATTTACCTACCCTAAAATATTTCCATACAGCCTCATGCCAGCAACCACGAATTAAAAAATTGCCAATGATTGATACTCAAAGCAATTGAAACCTTTCAAATTCCTCCAAATAAAACAGAAGAGCTCAATAAATTAAATTGGAGGAGAGCAGCAAAAGATTCAGCAAGCAATTAAGTGTAACTGAAATTTGTTTTAAGAACAAAGAACAATGTTATCTATCTGAGGTAGTCGGAGACATTGGAGAAAATGAGCTTGAAATTAAAGAAAAGGAGGATTAAAGAAAAAGAAGTAAAATCACTTCCAAAGGCACCAGCTGAAACCCACTGCAAATATTGTCTCAAAAAAAACCATGCCATTGATTATAAAGAAAACTAACTTCTTAAAAAATGAGGCAGACTCAACCCAGTCTTTCCCCATAAGCAACAGTTAAACTTACAGAAAAGAAGGCAAGAATTTAAGCATGTTTTAAGTTCAAATCAAATACTTTAAAAAGTTAAATATTAATATTATGGTAATTTTGAATAAACATAATAAAGAGTTGAGAACACCAATTAGGCCAGAGTAGAACAGTGCTCCCTAGGGTTTTAAATGGAAGTAGATCGCCAGACCTTTCTTCCAAGGCACCATGGGTGGGCTTAAATTGCTAATCTTTTGGCTAGCAGCCAAGTGTGTTAACCTTTTGTACCACCTAGGAAGTCCATGTGATTGACATTAAAAGATATGAAATACATCACACAACTACTTTACTTACATTCCCACAAATCTCCTCTTGGTCTCCATTGTTTACCGAATCTGAACCGGGTGGAACGCTGGGGCTGAAGGCCATAAGATCGGTCTTGGGTGGTCCCTCCCCAGAGCACACCCTCTGCCGCCTCTGCTGTGAGTACGACCAGCTCCCCACCGCGCTGGAGCACGCCAGCGTGGGCTTTCCCGGCCCGCACGCACCCTCTGTGGGCGGCGCCGAGCACCGCAGCGCCGTGTACAGCAGCAGCGTGAGCACCAGCAGGCTGGACACTGCGCAGATGGCGATAATCAGGTACACATTGACGTTCACCAGCGCCGCCTCCGGGCCTGCGATGCCAGCAGAAGCCCGCAACGACGTCTTCAGCGCCTGGCCACTCTCCACCAGCGACAACAGCACTGTGGCCGTGGCCACCAGCGGCGGTTCCCCGTGGTCCTTCACCAACACCAGCAGGCGCTGGCGCGGCGCATCCGCCTCGTCCAGGGCGCGCGTCGTGCTCACCTCGCCGGTGTACAGACCCACGAGGAACGGGCTGCGCCCGCCGCCTGCCACTGGCTGCAGCTCATACGACAGCCACGCATTGTAGCCTGAGTCGGCGTCCACTGCGCGCACCTTCGCCACCACGTGGCCAGTGCCCACCGACCGCGACACCAGCTCGCTCACCGCGCCGCCAGTGACGCCCCCCGCAGGCGGCAGGAGCGCCGGCGCGTTGTCGTTCTCGTCCAGCACGAACACCTGCAGCGTCACGTTGCTGACCAGAGGCGGGAAGCCCGCGTCGCGCGCGCTCACCTGGAACTGCAGCAGCTCCAGCTCTTCGTGGTCCAGCGGCTGCAGCGCGTACACCTTGCCGCTCTCGGCGTGCACCGACACGTAGCTCGACAGCGCGCGCTCGCCCACCCGCCGCTCCACCAGTGAGTAGGACACCAGTGCGTTCTCCTGAGCGTCCGCGTCACGAGCTGACACCGTGAGGACGTGGCAGCCCGGCAGGTTGTTCTCCTTCACGAACACCGTGTACTCCGGCTGGGCGAACGTGGGTGCGTTGTCGTTCACGTCGGCCACCTCCACGAATATGCTGGCTGTAGCCGACAGAGAAGGTGATCCTCCGTCCTGTGCTGTCACCACCAGCGCATAGGCCGACACACTCTCGCGGTCCAAAGCGTTTTCCAGAACTAGCGAATAATAATTCTTGAAGGTGGACACCAGCTTGAAGGGGTCATGGGCCGTTAGGAAGCAGGTCACCTGCCCATTGGCGCCAGAGTCCCTGTCGGACACTGTGATCAGAGCGATGACTGTGCCCTGGGGAGCGTCCTCTCTAACAGGAAGAGATAGAGACCTCACCATCAACTCAGGAGCATTATCATTGACATCCAAGACTTCTATCAAGACTGTGCAGTGACCAAACATTGGAGGGTTTCCTTTGTCAACTGCTTCTATTTGAATCTTACGCAGCTTAGCTTCTTCAAAATCTATTTTTCCACTTACTTTTATTTCTCCGCTGGCTGAACCTATGCGAAAAGAGGCTTCTATATTAGGGGAGACATCAGCTGCAAAGGAATAAAGAATGTGGCTATTTGAGCCCTCGTCCAGATCTGAGGCATTTAGTCTAATAACCAATGTGCCGTTTCTTGCATTTTCCGGTAATTTTACACGATAGACTGCTTTGTCAAACACTGGGGCATTGTCATTTACATCCAGCACTGTAATGCATAATTCTATGGTTCCTGTCAGCTCAGGTTTACCCCTATCAGTTGCTTTGAGCACCAAGAGAAGCTTTGAAGCAACTTCCCTGTCTAAAGATTTTTTTAATACTAGCGAGAGCGGTGTTACCTGCTCGTCGGTGGTTGGTACTTCCAGCGAGAAATACTCACTGGGGCTCAGTCTGTAAGTTAGCAGAGCGTTCTCCCCAGTGTCTGAATCAGAGGCGCCCTCTAGTGAAAAATGAGAGTCAACAGCCCTACTTTCGGAAATAAACAGATTCTTTTGTGTCGTCGGGAACACCGGCGGGTGGTCGTTAATGTCCCTCACCTCCACCTCCACATGGAAAACCTGCAGCGGCTTGTCCACGATCACCTCCAGGTGGATGCTGCACACCGCGCTCCGCCCGCACAGCTCCTCGCGGTCGATTCGAGAATTCACAAACAAAATGCCGTTCTGCAGATTTACCTCCAGAAGGTCCCCATGGCCTTTGGACGCCACCCGGAACAGGCGCGGCACCAGCTCCGTCAGCTCCAGCCCCAGGTCCTGCGCAATGCGGCCCACGAAGGTGCCGTGTTTGGCCTCCTCGGCGACCGAGTAGCGGACCTGGCCTCTAGCCGCCTCCCAGGCTGCGAGAAGCAGAAGCGAGAGCAGCAGGCGCTGGACTTCCTGGCCACCTGGTCTTGAAGCTAACGTCGTGCCTCTCTTCTGGCTAATAAATAAATATTTCATGACTAGAAAGATTTAGTCCTTTTGAGACCTTTCCTTTCGATTCCTTGCTCCTGCGATCCCAGCTGAGCTTAACAGTAAGGGTGTGTTTGTAGCCTTTAAAGCGCTGGAACAGCAGAGCTTCTTTCTGGTCCCGGGATAATCGTGATTTTCTTGCGTTAAAGAACCTCTCGTTGGAGAACAACGACATCCTGTGGCTCAGTATGTAAGTGCGTTTGAGTTTACTTTTACTATTTCTTTATTCTGCATTGCCTCTTTCTTATAATTCCTTCGTATTTGTCTATGTTTTCGTTGTTGTTTTTGGCTTCTAAAAATCTGTCATTATGTCTCCGTTGTGTGCAATCGCTACCTCTTTAAAGGTCTTTTTGATGTACAAATTAGAATTTCATAGAAGAGCTTTTCTTGATTATAGACGTCTAACAGAATATGCTGCTGCACCAACTATATAATCATGTATCTAAACATGAAAAAAAATCCATATTTGTAAGATATTAGTGATACTGGTTTAGTTTTTTTTTTTTTAGACTCTTAGAAACTGATCATTTTGGAATGGTCTCTTATAGTCTATTCCATTCCTAACACTCCATACTTTACTGTTTCTTAATATTTATACTATTAAATTATTCTAAACATTTTGTCTAATCATATACATAACTCAAGATAGAAAGTTTCTAGTTATCACCTCAAGATATCAGGATTTCAAATCAAAGGTGACATATAAATTTACTTATCAGTTTATCCAAATATTTCTCTGCTTTGCTGTTAATGAATTTTCTCATCACCAACTCCTGGGAACACGATGAATGTTTCTAAGACTTTTTTCTCATTTTAAAGGTTTTTTTTCAATCATTGTATCTGTTCAGACTGAACGGTTTAGTTTCCTTCCTGTAGGAAACTTAAATTTGAATTATATCCATTGCTTATTTGACAAAGATAATCTTCCAAAAGAATCACACTGGATCAGGAATTCAGATTATATTTGTCTGCTTACTCATAGTCATTCTATTCCAGTAATGGTTTAAAGAGCCTAGAATATAAGTTATTATAAACCCCCTTCATTCACTGAATTTT